AATTATCTACATAAATTTTTGTATGTTGGTCGCACCAGGGCTTGAACCCGGGCTTCCGAATGGCAACACGCAATGCTAACCACTCGGCCACTGCAGCCGCTGAGGAGTATAAAGAGCCTGCGGGGTATACTAAGATGGATAATAAGTTAACCCAATGGTTTAGGTGCAATCAGGTCCTCCTTCTTGCAAGCAATCAACCAACCAAACCATATAATGCTCGAATGTACTCGAACTCGGTTCTGCACTCGAACTAGGTTCTGCCTCAATTCCAATAGTGCTTTTCATAGTAAATTTGTAGAACTTTCTCTTATCGCGACTTGAGGGGATGACCTTACCTTACTGGCAAAGTACGGGAACTTATTTGTTACACTGTACACACTGTAAATTTATGTGAATTTCTTAACACAATACGCATTTTGTATATTTGTATGTACAAGTATCCTTGTGCTGGCGACAATAGCGTATGCTACATTTATGCTGCTCACAATCACCCCACTAATAGAATTTCATTTGATTTATATGACATACGCACACACACACATACATATTCGCACAAACACTTTGTGTCCGCTGCTAATCAACCCTTTGCCTCATCTTTGCTTTTGTTTAATTGTGGTAAATTACCTGGCGAAATGTTGCACTGATTCTTTGCTCCAAAAATATAAACACAATAATGAAATCAATCATCATTATGACTATTTAAAATGTCATCATCACTTAAATGACAGACAAACAGACAAACAGACAGACAGACACTTCAATGGCATCAACACTCTATAGCTACACGCTGTTGCACCTAATTGTTGTTGTAGACTCACCTCAGCGTCGCCTTTTGTAAATAAAAATGAAATTGAAAAGAAAAAAAATGTCATGCAACAAATTTAGTGTTGGGTGTGAAAAGCCAGAGTCGAAGCACTTTAATGATGGCAATAATTTCAAATCATGTACAAGCATACAAATATACGCACATTCAATGAACGTAAGTACATTCTTTCATATGACTATATATGTATGTACATATATATATATGTATATATGTATATACTTATATAATATTTCTGATCGAATTGTTCTTTATTAAGGATTCGCTCATCACTGTCATTTGCCACTCAAATACAGTACAATTCGATTTATAACTAACCACAGTGAATACAATAACAACTACAAAAACAACACCAGCTGTCATAGTGTTATTTGCCCTTTCATACTTCCCATATTACACTCAACACCTCACCAACAAAATATTTTCTTTGCGTGCTGTTGCGCGTATTTTCTTCCTCTCTTGTTGTACCACAATATATTCCTTTATTGTAGTCATCCACATTTAAACGTTCTTCAAGTGTCACTTGAGGTTATTGCATGAGTTACGTGCTAAAGTGGCCATATGACGACCGATGACAACAATAATAATATTATAATTGTGAGCTCTTCCCATGTTAAGATGATGCTGACGTGGGCGATGAGGATGATAATGATGAAGATGAGAGTCTTGTTTTCGATATTCATTCATATTATAACCAGCCTATCGGTTATGTAACGATTTTCGAGCCTCCTCCAAAGTGCTGACATTCGCGACCAAGTGGCCCGGCAATTAGAAAAATTTATTTTCCTCAATTTTAGGTATTATTCGGAGCTGAGGTTTAACCCTTACCTTCTTAACGACAGTATGCACTGCTAACTACTCGGCTTTTGCAGCTGTGCGCGCGAACTGTTCTGGTAACTCTAAGTCTGCTAAAAGCTACCGTCAGTCATTCAATGCTACTACCGCACATTGGCGACTCCACATTTCTGCCGAGGTTAAAGACGTGGGCAATAGGCTATCAGAGTAGTCACCAAATTTCGAAGAATTTCGAAGTCAAACATCCAATTTCAGAAAAATTAAACAAAGTTTTACGCAGTATGATCTCCTCTCCCCACTGTTGTTTAATTTCTGACTCTCGAAGCTCCCTCCTCTACTAGAAGGGATTTTACTGGTCTCATATGACGATGATTGCACGATATTGACGAGTGGCCAGAGTGTTGATGAAGTATGCTCGAAAGTGAACTGCTATCTCGTCGACCATTTCCATTTCTTCACTGAAAGACAATTACAACTACATCCTCGGCTGTTCTCTTCACCAGCCGGACGAAGGAGTACCGGTTCGAGATCGATGAGAAAGTCGATGGCGTAAAAGTTCTAACTACTAGCAAACCGAAGTTACTGGGCGTCACATGCGACTCCGCATATGACTGCCACAAAACTCTACAGCCTCAACAAAATCGTCAAAGACTTAAGGTGCTGTACCTGGGCAGAATTGAGAAACGTTGCTGATTACCTACAACGTAATTGGCTAGCTGATCGTACACTATGCTGCTCTGATCTGGGTGCCTCAAGCTAGCGAGATGCAGATGAAGAAGCTACAAACCTGACAAAACACCACCCTCAGCACCGTAAGAGAGAACCTTCTGATCTATGCTACGCGTTAAAGAGCATAATGCTTTGCTGTACAAGGATGGTACCGAGACTCCGTCAACACCCTCATGAGCTCTCTCCCTGTGCAGAGCGTTCTCAGAGTCGAATTACCATCCATTGCAGATGAAGAGCTCGAGTTGCCGCGAAAGTCTCAATAAAACTGGCACAATTAAGATCTGAACACTGTAGTCGACTAAATTCCTACCTATCCTGATAGGTTAGCATTGCGTACTGCCATTAGGAAGAGCAGGATTCGAGACCTAGTCCGACCAATAGTTGAAGTTATAGAAAACTAATTTAATTAAAAAATTAAGTTAATTTTTGTATTGCGGTCGCTCCTCGGCAGAGAATGTCAACGCCTCCGCGTGCATTTATGACAAATAAAAATTAAAAAACAATGAGCCGTTCGGAGGTTTCTTTCCCTTTATTGGAAAAACAGCAATATGCAGTCACAAATTGAAAGAGGAGCTCGGCCAAGTATATATATATATATACTCGTATATATTCCATCCTGACTTGACCCTAACACACCAAAAAATATGAATATATCCTAGGCAACAGAGGCTCTCCGGAGGCCTTAAGGCATAATATGGTGTGGTGGAGCCCAAACCTACCGAAGATTCCATCATTAAAGTCCAGAAATGCTAGGGAAAACGGGTTAAATACTTATTTAAAAGCAGTACCAACTCTCCGTGTCAGTACTTGCTGGTAATAAGATGAGGTTTTGTGTTCAAGAAGCAGCGATTCCTGTGGTATCAGCTTCTCTAACAAAATATTTCTTACAAAGAAGCATGCTGTTTCCTATAGTGAAGAAGGATGGCCCGACGATATGTACCAACTACCGGCGAATCAGTCTTACTCCCATTTCATACAAAAGATCCTCTCTAGCGTGTACGCTGATTAGACCTTATCAGTGCGGCTTTAGATCTAGTTAAAAGACCTTCGTGAAACAGTTTGACAGACTCGTACTCCCAAAGTCGCATTCGATAGTCCGATAAGGGTTCACCTCTCCGAATCACATTGAACAATCCACCAGCTCTTCAACTTCGTTATGGTAGGAATACTGCAGAAGGCCAGTGTACATCATAACGACAATTTTTTCTACAAAAGTGCTCTCCACCTTGCGCCATGACAATGTTGCCATTGTACGTTGTAAGCGAGTTGTTACTGCTGCATTTTTTGTATATGAAAAGGAATTTGTACAGATGGATCTGGCGGTAAACGAGAATAAAAGGAAGTATATGCCGTCTACAAACAGGCATGCGCGACCACTAGGACTCCGCCATGTAGCAGACCGTTATACTTTTAAGGCTATCAAGACATACACATTTCTTAACACCCATACTAATACAGGGTGCTCCATATTTTATGTCGATATATAAACATTGAATAACTTTGAGAAAGAACAACGGGTTTTTATAAGTGATGTATTTTTATTCAGTTTGGTTCCTTACAATTTTTTGGACTAGTTTTTGAAAACAATATCAATCAAGTGGCTACTTCTTTCTGCGTTTGGCATTACCTTTCCGAGCATCTCGTTTGTTATAGCGTTGATTTCAGCACGAATGTTTGCCTTGAGCTTCTCAATAGTTTGAGACTGGTTGGCGTAAACCTTGCAGATAACCCTACAAAAAGAAGTCTGTTGGGTTAAATCAGGTGATCTGCCAGATGGTACCTTTTTGTCGTGATCTTTCTTCCGACATACACCTAGAGTTAATACAATGGAACGACTGTTTTCGATGTAAAGTTTCACTATGTTAGTGAGTTGTTTCGGTGTGAAGCGATTCGTAGCAAAAATTGTACTGAATTAAAGTTCCGGAACATATCTGATGCAATCGCTCGGTTGTTAAATGTGGTAAATGGGAAAGTTATTCATCGTTTACATACCGACATAAAAGGTGGAGTACCCTATATCAGCTTGGCCCTTCTCGATTGGCAAAACTAACGTTTTATACGGCGCAGTAGCATAGTTTGTGTCGCATATGGATGCAGCCGTGCTTGGAGTGTTTGAGAGAAAAATACTTCGCAATATCTTCGGCACCGTTCGTATTGGGCACGACTAACGAGTGAACGAATAAGCCGCTTCGGTTTACGACTATATCAATATTGTTCAGTACATCACAATACAATATGTTCGCTCCTGCGAAGAAGGTGTTCGAAGCGAAATCCCATAGAGAAGACCCCCGAAGAGGACGACCTTCGATGAAAATACCAAGTTGAACGGAATTTTTCTACGCCTGATGTAATGAACCGTAAAAGGTGCGCAGTGCAGCGGCGCCTGGCGAGAGATTTCATGGTTGGCCGCAACTCGAAAACGTGGTATCATGGAACGGGTTTAATTAGTGTATTCTAGAGTGTGGTCTTGTGCGTGGAGTCGAGTACCTTACTTTTCAAACCCATACTCAACTCGCAATCGAACTCGTGGTCAGAGAGGATTCTGAATTTCAATTCAAAACCTTTTTCCCTTTCATGAAATCAAAAAAATTCCAAAATAACCTAACTTTTTTGTTTTATATTTTAAATTGTTTTATAATAAAATTTTCTACAATTACATAATTACAATTACAATACCAAATACATACACTTAACTATTTATTTACATAAGTATCTACATAATACAACGGGGTAACAAACGAAAGTCATGGAAGTGTCCAACTCTTCTACACTCGTACTCCCACCGCACTTAGGAGAATTTCATAAACTCATATGCCACTTTCGGGAATCTATGCCTCTGGATCGGAACACCAAATATTGAATTGTGCTCATTATATAGACGGCAAACAAACGGTCTGTGAGCTCTTTACTCGCCTTTCAGTTCATCCCACATTCAACTCCCTTACGAGTACTCATGAATTCTTCACATGGACGCAGCACTTAACGCAAACGAGTTAATTACAAAGCAAACAATATGGCAACGCCAAGAGTGCCAATGCACGTACCAAAAGTGCAATCGACGTTGGAGACCACAGCAGCAGCGAGAGCATGAAGCAGGAGCAAGAGTAAGAGTGACTTCTTTAACAAACAGCCCGCAGCATTCACACAGAGCACAGAGCACCAACAACCCCACATCCCAACGTAGGGGAGGATGCAACAAATTAGCTAGATACATTTGCTATGCTCCGAGTTCAATGTCCGGCGTTAGAGTTTGACTAGAATTATAATTACCATGAATGCTGCTGTTGATGGGGTTGATGATAGCTTCGCTGTGGTTGTTGTTAACTGTGCTGACGTATGCTCCTTTGCTGGGATATTTTGGTTAGTGAGCCAACTCGCGTATGCCTCTTCGTAGAATCGACGCATCGGTCAGTAACTAACTGCCTGTGTTTGTACTCTGTTGTTGTTGTTGGTTTTGTTGTTGTTGCTGTTGTTGTTGTTTGGCACGTTCCTTCGCTTCTTGTTGTGCCTTCTTGGAACGTTTCCACTTCATACGTCTATTTTGGAACCAGATTTTCACCTGCGTCTCCGATAGCATCAGTCCACTTGCCACTTCGAAACGCTTTGGGCGTGATAAATATTTATTTTGCTTGAATTGCTTTTCCAGCTCGAGCAGCTGCTGAGATGTGAATGCGGTGCGTGGGCGTCGCGTTTTACCCAATATGGCGTGATGTGGATAGGCAGCCAGTTCGGGGATGCGATGGTGTAGCATGCCAGCGCGGGCTAAAAATTCGAATTGGAGGTGAGAAGGCATGAAGGCGTGACCCATGGAGAGCTGGTAGAACACAAATGAAAAGAAAGATTTATATTAATTGTTTTGCAAGGACTATTAGCTAACAGTAATTAGCGCTGAGACAATTAAGAAAGAGAGAGAGCAGTTTTTGAATTTAGTTCGAGATCGAATGTACATCAATTTGTTTTTTCTAGCACCTTTCAGGCAGTTTCCAACTTTCGTCTCAGTAAATGTAAATTTCTTTGAGAGCTCCTCCTCAAATAGGAAGCAAACTCTCAGAAAATCTCTTCTTTTGTAAGTATGTTGTGTTGCTGATGTTCCTTAAATGGGTAGCTCTCTCCTTTTAGCTCCCATTTGGACTGAGGCTTTGAAAACTTGCTGTGTGGTAAAACGCAAATATGGAGCGGACTGCCGTTCAAAGCAAAACGCAGCTCTATATTTAAGCGGAGACATTCTCCTGGCCCATTATATTTATTTGTTATCTACTTTCCTTCCTACCAAGATTAGTGCTCTTCGGCCTTACGGTTAGACTCTCTCATTAAAAGACGCCCATGAAAAGAGGATCGACATTCCCTCCTTTTCGTCGATTTTACACTGAATTTGGTCCCCGTAAAACTTATGCGGCTGTGCAAGCTGACGCTAGACAACACTAGAAGCGCAGTCAGAATTGGGAAGGACCTCTCCGAGTTGTCAAGTACCAAACGAGATTTCCGACAAGGTGACTCTTTGTCATGTGATTTCTTCTTCTTCTGAATAGAAAAGATACAATCTTCTATAAGAGCGTACAGCTGTCGGCATATGTCGATGATATTGACATTATCGGCCTTAATAAAAGCGCAGTGAGTTCTGCTTTTTCCAGACTTGATAAAGAAGTGAAGCGAATGGATCTGGTAGTGCACGAGAACAAGACGAAATATCTCCTGTCATCAGCAAACACACTGTTGACAGTCATAACTTCGAATAATTCGTGGATAATTTCGTCTATTTCGGAACAAGTATTTACAACAACAACAATGACAGCCTGGAAATTCAACGCAGAATCACTCTAGCCAACAACAGATGCTACTCTCCGCGAACCAGAAACAAAATCAACAAGTAGTACCCGTCCTACTATATGGCGCAGAGGCGGGGACGATGTCAAAAGCTAATGAGTCGGCTCTAGCAGAACGCATTGGCAGCGGCGGGCTCGCAGATGATGAAACGCTGAGCTGTACGATCTATACGACGATATTAACATAGTTCAGCGAATGAAGAGACGATGGCTACACTGGCTAGGTCATGTCGTCCGAATGGATGAACGCACTCCAGCTGAAAATATTCGCTTCAGTACCCGCTGCTGGAAGCAGAGGGAAGCAGGGGAAGAGAAAGACCTCCACTCCGTTGGAAGGATCAGGTGGATAGCAACCTGGCGTCACTTGGTATTTCCAACTGGCGCCAAACAGCGTGAGGAAGACATGAATGACGCGCTATAATTGATTCGGCTATAATCGCGAAAGCGGTGCCAAGGCCAATAAAGAAAAAAAAGAAACTAAAAAGCCCATTTGGACTCCTTCGGTTTGGTTGCCCCTGACACACATCTTCCAGATGTTGTTGTTGTTGTAGCCACAAAAACATTTCCCAAAGTTGTCTTTGGAGATTGCTATTAGAGTAATAGTTCTTTCTCGGATAAAAATTCAGGTGGTTCCAGTATAAAGACTCGCCTGCCGCAGGAACTTTAGTCGTCACAGGCGTCCTCCACAATACTATTCACAGCATTGATTTATGGAATAAGAGAGCCGTTCCTCAAAGCACTCGATTCTCCAACGTCCTTTAATTGCCTTGATATGGGAGATTGCCCTTTCTGTGCGAAAAAGCAGAAATTTCCTATGCAAAAAATCTCGTCCTCTCCTGAAACAACTACTTGAGAAACATAGCACTCCCTTTCAGAAATCGAAAATTTTTGTTCTACAACTTGCGCAAATTTTCAGCAAGCGACATTAGGATTCCACACGACGTAGTTGCTCTCTCTCTCAAAAAAAATCTTATAAGACAGCTTGAATGACCCCAAAAAGGAGATTAGAAAAGAGCTAGAAAGAGCTTTAATGAGTGCTTGAAGCTTCCCATGGTATTGCGCAAAATATTTCCGAAAGCAACGAGAGCCTTTCAGAAAATTTAAATACTAAAATGGCATCAGTCCTAAATATCCACCACAGTATAATTGTAGAATAATTTTTAGCAAAAGGAACCAAAAGAAAGTTGGGAGTTCAACTTTTAAAAATTCTAAAAATAAATTTTTAAAAATAGCCTACCGGTATTGGTTTGCCTGTTGGATCCAGAGGCCGATGAAACGCTGAACCGCCTTGCGCCAACAACTGATACGGATGACCGCCGGCATAGAGCGGAAAGTCTTGCGGCCTGATGGGACTATGCGGTGGTATGGGTTTCTTGAATTCATCATGAAAATCCATAGGCAAACCTAAATGATGTTGATCCTCACAACCAGGACTAATGGGCGGACTAGAGCGATGTGATGATGTGGGCGATTCTGATCTGTAACACAAAAAAAAAATACAAAAATTTTGGAAAAATTAGTTAATAGAAATAAGAATAATCAATAATTAATACTAAATGTAATATACGTGTATGCATAAAAATTTTAGCTTCAAATTACGAATTTGTCGAAGAAATTTTGTATAAAAGAAATATGAAATTCCCTTTTTTGCAATAAAAAAAATTTTAAATTCCAAAACTGGTGCTAATTAGTATGGGCTTAAATTTATTTTTAAATATATTTTTAAATTTATTTTAATCTACAAAAAAATGTCTGCTTCCGCAAAGTGTGACCTCAGCTGTCTAAACTTGTCATGACAATTAACTAAACTCAAAAATCAACAACCAATTTCTCACGGCCTTTCGCACAATTCAACGCTCATTTGGCCTAAAAAAAAGTTCCAGCAGCGCTCTTAAGATCCGCTTCAAATGATTGACATTAAAAATAAATTAAATAAAAGTACGAAAATTGGCAACGAAAAGAAAGCAGACAAATTGTATTTAATATTATACACGTATATATGGCATACATATGTAGGTATGTATTTATGTTTCCCAGTTCATACATACACATCTAACAGAAAATATAAAAATGATTTTATAAAGGGTTTTCCAATAAGAGGTATCATTTTGTTGTTCAAAAAATTTTTTTCAATTAGAAGATCGATGAATTCGTCGGTCAAGATGTTTTTTCGATGAAATTTTTTATGGTAAATTTTAATCATTTCACTGCGTCATTGAAGCGTTTATTGTACCATTTTTGTAGTGGGGAAGTTTTTACTTGAAAATGGCTAAAAATTACAGTTTGGAAACTGTCATCTAACGGAAAATAACATCTCTTATTGCAAAACCCTTTGTATGTATGTCTATACCAGCATTTGTATTACGCAAAATATGTACGATTTTATATGTGCGCACACACTGAAATATACATATGTATAACCATACATATACATATACACTTACATATGTACATATACATACATATGTACTTATATATGGAATGTATAATAAAAAAACAAAAATTTTGGTAAAAGCTCATTAACTGACTGATTGGACTGGACTGTTAAATAACTCAGCGTTGTTGTCTTTAAGCGCTGTTAAAGCACTTTTCAATTGCTGAATTAGTTTGCAAATATTTTTTCGTCTTCTTCTTATTTTTCTATTTTTTATTCTTTTTTTTTAATTTTTTTATTTATTTTTTTTTATTTTTTATTTAATTTTTTTTTTTTTTTTTTTTTTTTTTTTTTTGAAGTCTTTATATCAAAGGCGTCTACCGTCGGAATGTTGGACACTTGAATGTTATGTCAGCTATTAGTGCCATTAATTCACTTGGAATTAAATGGTCGATATCGCATCTTAAATATTAATGTAATTAGCAATAACATTGAGAAATGTGTAAAGGAAAAAATAAAAAATAATTTATGAAATTATTGCTTAAATACATATGTGCGAGGCATTAATACACGTTACTTTGTATTGCCCGCTCTTCAAATATTATCAATCACATGTAATTTTCAATGTATAATCTTACTGGGATTTAATTAACGGTATTTGATAGCATATAATATTTTATTGAAAATACAATCATAAATAAGTGGTTTAAACAAATTAATCAACTTTGTAGTGTAGCATTTAATGTCAAGATTAAGACTCGAGTATTTTTCGCTAACAGAAATATTTTGAAAAAATGTGGTTTACAAATAATTTTTTTTTATATACAATAATAAATCATAATTATAGCATTTTTTTATTTAAAAAAAGCACTTGTCAAGTCTCAAAAATATTAAAAAAAAATAATAATACTTAGTCTAGTCATCTTTATTTGTAAATTCCATTAATAGATTTTACGAAATAAAAAAAACAGTGAGAATTTTTAAAATAAATCAATGAAACGATGAGATGTACAGTTTCAGGCAAGTGAGAAAAGCTGAGCGCAAAAAAATAACAGTTTAAATGCGAACTAAAGTGCGTTAGAGGGGACAAGGGCGCAAGCGAGAAAGTCCTTAAAAAACTTACAACAGTAACCATATAAAGAGGCGCACATTCGGTGTCGGATTTATGGTGAGAGAGAGACTCCGTCGCCGGTGGATGAACGTCTTGCCACAATCCGCAAGCAAAGCGTTGATTTGCATCAACGCTCCGCCCCGTTGGAAGAGAGATACGATGTGATCAAGTATGCATGTTGTGAGTGACTGGAGCATATTTATGAGCGCTGCACTCGCAACGATTTAAAAATTGCGTTTGAAGACTTCAACCCCAGGGTGGGCAAAGAAGGTATCTTCGCTCAAATGTCCAGAACTTCAGTCTCCGTGACAAAAAATTCTCAAACGGTTGATGCTGATTGAGTGGTTGTCTGTAGTACTAGAGTCCAGCACAAGAAAATGCATCAAACTACGTGCTGTCGTCGGATGGAAAATATAATTTATATATATATATATATATAAATACATATATATATAGACATATCTCTAGTGTTCGAGATGTGTGTACATTCTCGCCCAGATATGCACCCACCTTCATGTGTCAAAGAACGCTTGTCAAGAAGCACCACAAGGAAGGTAGAACGTCGAAAAACTGCAATCACAACAGACAGCCGAACGGATTTCTACTTGATTTTCACATCTTCTTTCTGAGAGCACTCATCGGCAACGCTATATGAAGAAACTGTGGAACGGCAGTTCAAACTTTCTACGTTTGGTTGTAGGCAGTACCAGAAAAAGAGTCAGTACGATCAGGAATGTCGCACTTCAGTGGAGAGAAAAAGGCCGCCTAACTTGCAAAGTTGCGATCGACCACAACTCGTGCGGGATGGGATAGATACCGAGAGATGAAGAGGGAAGCAAAACGCATATGCAGACAAAAAAGAAAGAGGACGAGATACATGAGTATGAAGAGCTTGAGTAGCCGGCCGATAAGAGTAACGGTGGAAAATATATGCGGGGACCTTACAGAAGTTTCTTAATCGGAAGATACTCATGTTGGAAGCAAGGTAATAATATGGTGACCGTTGTCCAGTACAGCCAAGTGGTTAGCATTGCGTACTGCCATTCGGAAAGTTCGGGTTCAAATCACCATGCGACCAACATCCAAAAGTTATTTAAATACATAATTAAATTAAATTTTATAATTACTGTCGCCCCTCGGCAGGGAATGTCAACCCTCCGAGTGTATTTCTGTCATGAAATAAAAAAGACTCCTCGTAAAAAACCATCAGCCGTTCGGAGGCGGGTTAGTATAAACTGTTGGTCCCTCCATTTATTGGAAAATACATCAAGATGCAAAACCACAAATTGGAGGGAGAGCTTGGCGGAAAGTCGTTTTAGGGCTTACAGAGCGTCAATTATATATATATATATATATGTCCAGCGCATACTTCGTGTATGAGGGGAACACTTCTCCAGCCTGTTGACTGGTAGTGACAGCGAAATGCGAACCCGAAGCGAGATGGCGAACCCGAAACCCCAACAGATGTTGATGGAAAAGACGTTCCATTGATGGTTCGATTCGCGATGGTCCTCTTAAAGCGGCTGGAGATGAAGTATTTGCAATCCAAAACCGAATCAACCTTTTCGTACAGGTGTTGCTTTGGACTGTGTAGGCAAAATAAAGTACTCTCTTGACGAACAAAGACTAAAGCCCAGACTCCCGTTCTGTTGTATGACAACAACGTCTGTTGAGTAGGCATTACGAGGTTTCGAGTGAAAGGTGTTGCGTGGTAACGATGAATACTGCTGTACAAGGTATACGATGAGCTGCATCGAGACAGTGGCTACGCTAACTAAGTCACATGGATCGGATGGCTAAGAATGTTCTAGCAAATTTAGGTTAGGAAATGCAGTATGATGAGGACGCAGACTAAATTTCAGTGTGGATAAGTCCCAATGGCCAGCAGTGTCAGTTTGTTCTAAATTTCTCTTCATTGCTGGTGGTTCAAATGTTGTTTTTTCTCAGAATTGTTTAGCTTATGGACCTCTGCATCTAACTCCTTCAAAGTACTCAGTTCAAATGAATCGCTAATCTCAACTGAATTTCTATGGGTGATTACTACTGGGATTGACGTATTGACGTAGTAGCTGTGTTCTATCTGGGAGAAAAAAGGAAAAATAACCATTTTTGTATAAAAATTAGAATTGATTATTCCCTGACTACTGCCACTTGTATAATTTGATTACTTTTAAAAGACCTTGCAGACGTCAACTCATAGTGTCGCTGTTCCAACACGCTACGATCAAAAATAGTTATCGTTAATCGATTTTGTTATGATTTGGTATGGAATTGCTTTACTGCAGAAAAAAATTATTCTGAAACATTATATAAACTGGTTAGCTCAATTCGCTAGTAGGTGGTGAAATTAAAAGTGTTCCGATTTTAATGAATTACAGTATATAGCTTTAGGTTATGCTAAAAAATATGAAATTTGGTAGATACCGGAGCCTAGAGTCACGCCAACCATAGACAGAAATGTCCTTTTCAAACTTCAAACTATTAAATAAGCGATTTTCAATAGAAATATATATATCTATTGGTGTGACATGAAGAAAATTAAACAAAAAAAATTTGGGATGGCTGAAGGCCAGGTTGCTCTAAAAAATTAAAAAAAATAATCGAACTTTTTTGTTTCCTGTAAATTGTTTGAAAATACTCTTAGAAATAATATAAAATTACTGCTGAAGGTCCGCAAGAGCAAGAAGTCTATGCTTGAGGGGAGACTGGAAACGCGCCAAGCGGTAAATCCGGCCGCTCGAGTACTTTAATTGGCTTTTTTTCTCGAAACCATTGAACTTATGAACTTTAACATTAAAATACCGTCCATAGAGAGAAATTTAAGAAGTAAAAAGCTGTTTATTTTTTGTTTCCGTAAAATGGCGTTTATTTTACGCCTAAAATTGACTCCTAAAATTACGCTCTATGGAGGGTACTTCAACGAAAAATTAAAAATTTATAAGCAAATAAAATTGGAAAAAAGGGTAAAAAATTTTTAAAAAGTAAAAAGTAAAATTTTATAAAGTGAACAAAAAACCAAAAGTATTCATTGTTAAAAAAAAAAACAATTAAGGCTGAAAAAAGGGAAAAAAGTTAGAATTTTTTTGGTGAAACTGTTTTATTGTAGCTCCGGCCACAGCCAATGAGATACAGAATAAGGAAATGCTATTTATTTTTCCTTTTTTTTTTGCTTTCAGATGATTCGTTTGAGTTATCGTGTCACTCACCAACAAAAGAAACGAGTTTCAGCATTAATTTTAAGAGCGACCGTTTAAAAAAAAAGCAAAAAATATCCAATTCATATTTTTATAAGTCTTTTAAACCACAAAAACTTTGATTTATAACTTTTTTTTTAATAAATAAAATTTTTTTGAAAAAACCGGTTTTTTTGGAGGAATTACTATTTATATATTCTATTTAATTTATTGCTATAGTCGCTTTTCTGCGTTAATAAATCTAAAAAGTTGAAATTATAATTTTAATTTTTCTCTACCAGAGTTTTAAAGTTTGAGAGCTAAACGAGAACGTATTTTTTTTTTTTTTTTTGCTCACAGCGTACCTTTGTGTCCTAGACATGAAATGTAATTGATTTTAAAGTGAAAAAAATATTTTAAAAAACTCAACTTTTTATTTTGCTGCAGCACCTCAGAGCGTGGGCAGGTTATTCGGACTCTATCGCATCGATTTATCTAAAATATTATTATATTTTTATCTGAAATTTTGGAAGTACGTAGTAAGTAGTTAAGCGTAAACCTTTTTTTTTAATAATTAAGTGCGTATTTTTTAGTTAAAAATCAATCTTTAAAAAAAAATGTGCCGTTTTCACAAAAATTAGTTAAAAAAATCAATCCGTACGTACTTCCAAAGACCAGAATTGCAGATAATAAAACTCTTTTTTTCTCTGTGCTAGGTCTCATCATTTAGAAGAAATCGGTCCTCCCGTGGACGTCTTAAAAAAAAAAACATGGATTAAATAATTAATTTGTAACAAAATAATTGTTAAGAAATATTTTTGTTTACTTCAGGATATGTTCATTGAAAAGATTGAATAGAAATTTAATTTTTTTCTCATATTTCCACAATAAATTAAAAAATATGAGTATATTTTTCAATCTCGGGCTTGACCCCTTAATGGCATTTAACATAAGGTAAAAAACAAAAAAAAGTGTAGAATTGCCAGATTAGCAAACCTTTATTTATTATTACGATATAAAATATATTTTAAAATTTCCTACTTTCTGTAAAAGGCTAGGCCGATGGTTTTTTTATAGGAAGCTTTTATTTCATTAGAGAAATACGCTCGGAGGGCTTGACTTTTCCGTCCGAGGGGCGACCGCAATTGGAAAATATTATTTTTTTTTTTTTCAAATTGAATGTTGGTCGAATCAGTATGCAATGCTAACGACGCGGCTATTGTGACCGCAAGCTTCACATATACGAATACATATGTATGTACATACTAGAGTTCAAGATTTTGATTTTCGAGCTGCTCGAGCATTTGAGCAACGAAGACTCTCACGCTGGTTCATTGCTCACTCAACTTTCGAACCATTTAAGCTTTTTCGAAAATTTTTTCAGATTTTTCTTCTAAAATTTTAATTTTTATTTCTCATTAAAATACTAAAAAAAATCTAACAAACAAAATTGAATTTTAAAAAATTTCAAACTATCATTTGAGCAGTTGAGCAGTAAATGAGTATCAAGCGAACACCGAGCTGCTCACATAATTTAATAAAAAAGCTAGTCTTCAGGAAAAGCAAAAATATTTTCCCTAAAATCAAACTGTATTTTTATGTTGACGAACAAATACGAAACGTTGCCCAACATTAGGCGTAATAAAATTCGTTCTATAAAATACGATTGTCACTAAATAATATTAATATAAAATTAAGAGTTTGACAGTTTGTAGTTGTACAATTAAAGAGTTCCGGCAGGGAATGAAAAAATCTTTTCAAACCCTTTCTTATACCCATTTCGTATAAAATTGAAGACGATAAATAATATTGCACACTCACCTCGACATGCCATCGGGACTCGGTGTGCCATACTCGCGAGACTCACGTATCCGCTGCAACGCCTCCTGCTCAGTTATACCAGCGGCAAGAGCTTGATTGAACTCCACATTATCGCGCGCATAATGAAATGCCGCCAAGCGATCTTCTGTTAGCGGTTTTGCAGTATTATTTTCCGATAACTCATCACCACTTTGACTCTTCGCCAGCAAGGCATCAATACAAAATGACTTTTTCGGTTGACTTTGTGGAGTCGTCGTAGTGGTGACTGGCGGCGAAATGGATGCGGTAGTATTTTGTTGCGCCAACATAACATTGCTGAGTGGCAAACGCGGCATGGGATAACAACCATTCACTAAGGCGGGATGGCCGACGGGTAATGCACCAACAGACGTAAATGTGTCATATAAACGTGGCGCAGACATCACCGGCTGCGTGGGCGGTGGTGGTACTTGTGCGACCAGTGGAGCTGGAAAGATGCGTTGATCACGCAAACCGCTCGCGACCGTGGTGGTGGCGTTGGTGGATGCCAGAGGCGACGGCAGGTGTGTTAGTGCGGGTATTGGTGTAACAATTAACGGCAAGCCGCCGGACGTGGCAACACTGTTGTTGGGCGGTAGTTGCAAGACGGACGGTTGTTTATTATCAAGTTGTGGGCTGGTGTTGGACGTGTAACTATTTGGTGGGGAATTTGTGGCGGAACGTGGGGAATGTGTTGACGAACGTGTGGGGCTGGAGTGTGCAGGTGAGTGCGGCGAAAGGGTAGAACTGGTGTTGTTGTCATTTTGATAATCATTGCGTGTTGGTGAAGAATTCTGTTGTTGTTGTTGTTGTTGCTGGTGTTGGTGTTGGTGTTGGTGTTGCGCGGCCGCTATGTGATTGAGGAAATGCGAAATTTGCTGCTGTTGCTGTTGCTGTTGCTGCTGTTGATGTTGTTGTTGCAACGTCGGCGGCTGTGAGACTTGCACGCTGGACATTTTTTTTTTTTTCAATTTTAATTTATTAAACTCACTAAAGCACTTCAAAATATTTTCAGTTTTTTTTTTCAATTCACAACTCTTTTTTTTTTGTTTTTGTAAACCACTTTTGCAAATAATTTTTTGTTTTAACTTTTCAATTCCTCTATGTTCGAATTTCAAAAGCGTTGCTGATCAACAACTAATTAAACAATTATATAAATGCTTTGATTTTTTTCGAATGTATGTATGCATGTGTGCGCGTGGCCATCAAATTTCGTTTAAAGGCGAACTTGGCACATTTTAACGTTTAACCGTGGCGAGCGTACATTACCAACTGTGCGACACCGTTCGTCGTATACGAGTCATATACCTCAACTTGATAATTGAACGTAATCAACTACCAACTAAGCCGCTGCGACCGCAACGCACACCCTGCAAGAGCGCTTCACCAGCATTGTATCAGCTACACTTACGCTCAGTCGGCTCTCCCACCATGCACACACACGCACACACACTCACACACATAAGTAGCTCAGCCGAACAAGCGACATGAGAGGTCTAGCAGCATTAAACCCAACTGCCTTTTCAAAGATGGAGACTTCAAACACCGGTCGTCTCGCTCTAGTCTCAGCCAAGTTGCGTAAGTGAGAGCTGGCGCTATGAGTTGGGCGTGTTTGTTGCGGTTTTCAATAAAATGTCTGTCGACTGGCATGGTGTGCTTTACATATTGTGTAGGCGTGGCTGAGGCTACGCTTTGCCATACGCCATAGTTTGACAATGCAATGGAGTAAGTACAAAGAAGTGGCTTGAGTTGTAACCTTTGCCAGTTGGTTTTTTATTGCTTTGTTCGTTGTTGTTTTATTATTATTATTTTTTTTTTGTTTTTTCTTTGGAGTAACGCATTGCAAATTGTCGAAATTGTTGGAAAAACGAGGGATAATTACCATCATTATGGAGTGTAGCCACAATTGGAAATTCAGGCAGGGATGTGCGCAGCAACGTCAGCAGCAGCAGCAGCAACAGCAAGTGTTGTAACATTTTCGGTTTATTTGGGCAGTAGTACATATGTGCATACATACATACGTAGCTACGCTGCCTCAGCATTCGTTTTGTGCTGGCGTTTATCTAGTGTGAGCTTTATAGCCATCATTAGGCTTCTCATCGTCATCATTAGTTCCGTACAACACTGCAACGAGGACGATTTTGCAGTAGTCGAGTTTGAAATTTATGTAATTTGTATTTGTATGTACAAATGTATGTAGTAGCACTGCTGCGGCGCAGGCAGAGAGTAGTAGTGGTAATCATAGTATTTATTCACCTACATCTTCTTGGCAATTACCAACTTATTGTAGCAGTAAAATGTGTCTTTAAATACTGTAATGTGCCACATTTGATATTTCGGGGCAGTGTGGGGGAAAAGTGTTTGTTTCATTAAAATTAAAATTGGTAACAGAGATTTTTGTGCTTTTGGAAAAGTTGTCCTAATGACTAGGAGTTCAATTAGAAAATTAGTAAAATTATATATAATTTTTTTTTTCAAAATTAAGAATTAGTTTAAAAAAAAATAATAATTTTAAATATAAATTTATAATATTGTATATATATATGTCAATAATTGGCGATTTGTAACCGCTAAAGCGATATTTCTCCGAGCTCCTCCTCCAATATGTGGTTTTGCGTCTTTATGCTTTTGAAACGAATTGAGGTATCTACAGATTATACTAAGCCGGCTCCGAGCGGCTGATGGTTTTTGTTTACGAAGAATCTTTATTTCATGTCAGAAATACACCCGAAGGGGTGGACATTCCTTGCCGAGTGGCGACCGCAATTAGAAATTTTTACTTAATTTTTATTTTAAAATAATTGTTTACACCTTTTTGATGTTGGTGGTACCAGGATTTGAACCCGAACCTACCGAATCTCAGTACACATTTATGCTAGCAGACCCAGCGAACTTCGTCTCACCTTAACTACATGCCTTTATTTTACATTAACGGTGATGAAATATATGCAGATAGTTCAAATCTGAATGTGAGTTATTTGAATGAAATCGATCAGAGAAAAGCAATATTGTAAGTCGGCAAGCAAGAACCAACAACAAAGTAGGTTCGTCAATACGCGAACATGGGCAATTCTCATAAAATTACTTAAATTAGACTAAGCGGTTTCACATAAGCAATTTTCAAGCAGCCCATACAAACAGGGAAAGAAATCAAGCAAGTTGAAGTAAAAATAAGATTATTAAGTAGCAGTTTCTGCATGTTAATCTAAGCGATAAGCTACCAACAAATTAAATTTCAAGTGAATCGAAACGTAACTACGATTATCTTACATTAACCGGTCCTCGAGACTCACTCAATAAAGTTGTATTTAATTTCGGTCCAGCCGTTATCAATTCAGGAATAATCATGATACAACCAAAAAAAGATAGTTTCATTCGAAATTTTTTTTCAAAAATATCAACCGTCTGACATAAAAGAATTTTCTGACTTTGGCTTTATTTTTGTGCAGCCAGTTTCATTAAAAAAAAATTACACTTTCTAGAATTAAAAAAAAAAAATTATTACAAAAAGCTCAAAATATTTCCATGTAAGCTATTCTAAATGCCATTCTAAAATTAAATTACTTTCCAAACGCGTGGAAAAAGTCGCAGATATTAATGATAGCGAAACCAGGCAAAGACCACACACAGGCGGCGTCTTATAGACCAATAAGCCTACTACCCAGTCTTTCCAAATTATTTGAAAAAATTCTGCTATCAAAAATATCTCCTTTCCTCCACCGTAACAATGTGATACCAGATCCCCAATTCGGCTTTCGTGAAAAGCATAGTACTATCGAACAAGTTAACCGAATAACTAATGAAATCAGAAAGGCATTCGAGCTCAAGGAGTACTGTTGTGCAATCTTCTTTTTTGACGTAGCACAAGCGTTCGACAAAGTCTGGCATAAAGGTTTACTGTACAAAATACATAAAGCTCTGCCTGTTCAATTTTATATGTTACTTAAGTCATATCTGACTAACAGACAATTTACCATTAAGCAATCTGAATTTATCAGTGAGGAGTATCCGGTAAAAGTAGGTGTTCCGCAGGGAAGCGTCCTCGGGCCCATTTTATATATCATATACACGACAGACATCCCTTTAAACCGAAAAGTGCAGACATCTACCTTTGCGGATGACACAACTATTTTATGCCGGGATAAATGCCCTAAAAGAGCAGCAAAAACGATTAGTGATCATTTACTCCTCATCGAAGAATGGCTAAAAAACTGGAGAATTAAAGTTAATGAGCAAAAGTGTAAACACATTTACTTTAAGACATTTACTTTAAGACCTCAAACATGTCCTGCAATTCGCTTAAATGGTATAAATATTCCCCAAGTAAATGATGTTACGCTATGTACTTAGATAGACGTCTCACTTGGAAGAGACACATAGATGCAAAAGTACTACACATGAAATTAAAAGCAGCTAGTTTAGATTCGCTTTAAAATAAAAACTCCGGTCTAAAACTAGACTACAAAGTCCTTATTTACAACGCAGTATTAAAACCGATTTGGATGTATGGTATTCAACTATGGGGTACGACCTGTGCAACTAATATCCATAAAATACAGAGGTTCCAGTCTAAAATTTTAAGAGCACTAACGGGCGCACCATGGTACGTTCGTAACGTTGATATTCATCAAGACCTTGGTATTTTACTGGTTAAGCCTGAAATTGAAAGAAGCAGGACGAAGTACTTCACAAAGCTAAGAAATCATCCAAATCCGCTAGCTAATGCTTTATGCAACCCATCGAGAAATTCCTGCCTGCAACGAAGAGATGTTCCCGCCTTCTAAGGAGAGTGCCGTAGTTTGGAAAAGGGCTCAGAGTTAAATAACTTGAGCTATCATGTTTGTAATTTAGTTTTTAAGATTTGTACACTTACTGTTAGGCTTATACAATATTATAGCAGATTCAGTAAATAAATGAATTCTGTATAAAACATGTAAGCTAAAAAATGAAGAAAAACTAAACGTACTCACAAAAAACTAAAAGTCCTTGCACAGTATTTTCTGAAATCTAATAGCAATAAGATTATTTTCAGGCGGTCAAGCATTTTTTATAAAAAAAAAATAATTGAAATGCAGTTGATCCTCTACTAACGAACATTTCGTATAACGAACACTTTTTTATGAAAACAAAGTTTCGCTTAACGACCAAAAAAAGGAGAGAACCTTGATTGCATGTAAAATTTCTGTAGGTTTATAGCAACAAAACAGGGAAGGTCCCGCATATGCAGTATTTATTGTATTATCTGCGTTCATCTTTTGTTTCAAGTGCATAATTCCAACAGTATAATTTACATCTACATTTTATTTTTATAAAAATTACAAAAAAAAACATATTTGCGAGATTTGGAAAAGGAGAAAAATAAAAGAGCTAAAATAAATATTGAGATGAGACTCAAGATCATTAAAAAATATAAACGAGGTTTGTTTGCATCTGTCTTAGGACGTAAGTACAACTTATCAAAATCGACGATTTCTACTATCCTCAAGAATAAGGCAAGCTTGGGTGATGCTAAAAGATTGCTTCTGATATGGATTAACAAAGAACAAATGTAAGAGGACTGAATTTCGCAGAATATAATTTGTGAGAAGGCTGAAACTATTTTCACCAATCTTATCTAAAATTACCAGGAAGTAAGAGGTGGTTCTAGATGTTTAAAAAACGTACTAGTATCCATAAAGTTATGAGACATGGTGATGCATCAAGCTCAGACGCTTAAGCAGCGGAAAGTTTTGTCGGCGTATGCAAGAAGATTGCAGATACTGCTGGTTTCTTGTCCCAATAGATTTATAATTGTGATGAAACAGGTATTATTTTTGAAAACGATGCCCAAGCGGACATACATAATATCAGAGGAGGAAGCAATGCCCGGCCATAAGCCAAGGAAAACCGCCTTATTCTACTTTCGTGCCTTCAAAAAGCAAGTGACAAGTGATCTTTTTTACTGACTGGATCAATATTTGATTGAGAAAGATTTGCCTCTTCGTGCCTTGCTTATTATGGATAACGCTTCTTCACATCCACCATGTTAGCACACTAAAGGGGATGCTTTTCCTTTATGGTTCCAGGCTTTGGGAAAATAAGTTATTGGGTGTGATAGGGGGTTCCACCCTCTCTCAGAAAGCGAAAAATCTAATGGAGATCTATAGTTTTCGAGATATTTACAGTTGAAATTGCAAAAAAAAATTGAATTTTCACCCTATTATTTTATACATAAAGCCTGTGAATTTTGGTGCTGCCACATATAAAAAAGAAATTCTAAAATAAAACAACTAGATTACAATTTTTAAACTTTAT